ATTTAAAAAATTTATAATTCTAAAATTTTTACATGTCGTTCAGTTTTGCCTAAAAAACGATAATAAACAATAAATTGAATTATATATGTATATACTATTATATATTTTAAGATTTATGTGAACTTTGGTGTAGTCATAGAATAAAATCAAACCTAAAACTAAAATTGAAAAAAAAAATTAACATTAAAATTAATGATAAAAATAATCAATTGCAACTAAAAGTATTTGCTGGCTGCTTTCTTTAATTTAAAAGCATGTTTACTTTTCTTTAATAGTTTTTATAAATAAATTATTCAGAGGGAGAATACGATTGTAAAAGAGAAATAAATAGGTTCATCAAGGATTTTGGTAACTCTCTCTTTCATTCGCTGCATGGAGGGCTCGTTTTTATTATAATTTATAAAGACCAACTAAAAATAAAATACTTTAAAAGACCAATTTAAAAATAGTTTTATAAATAAAAATCTTGCTGGGTTGAGAGTCGAGGTCGAACTCAGGTCATTGGACCTAAATAAAAGAGTCTTCACAAGCAAACCACCAAAAAAACTCACATACACATGGTGCACTCAAAATTTTTACAAAAGCCAGGGGGCAGTGCAATGTTCCCCAGCTCCCCAGATCTTTTTATCAAATAACTCCGCCCTCGAGACTTAACCAATTAGGATAATATTTAAATTTATTTGAATAGTATTCATAATATAACATATTAATTACCCAGATTAAAACACCGATCATGGGCATGCCCATACTCGTCCATTAATTCCAGCACTAGAGATTTCGAGTGAAGACGGTGAATTATGTATGGTAGCATGGATCATCCTTGATGGTATCTTAACCTCTCCATGATAGAATTCTACGACAACTATCTATTAGTTCTACCCTGTTCGTGATTTTAACCATTTTTTACTTTTTTTTTTTTTTTTTAATTTGATTCTTACGACAACTAGTTTCTATTAGTTCCTACCCTGTTCTGGATTTTAACCATTTTTACTTTTTTTTTTTTTTAACATTCGCGCGCCATGAAGTCTCATAACTAGATGATTATTCGGTGCCAGTCTTATGAGTGGAGCGGAGTGATTTTGCTATGACATCAAACTTGATGCCAATTTTCTTTAAATTGTGGAATAACAAGAAAATAATTTTGCCAAAAAAGACAACTCATCGGTATATAATGATGACTATGGTTAGCTTAAATAATGTTTTTTGTTTTTTTTCATTTTTTGGATCGCTTTTACAGAAGTTGTTCTATTCCATGAACTTTTTTTTTTTTTTTTTTTAATTCCATGAATTCTATAACTATGATTATTCTGCAGTCTTATAGTGCGGAGTGGATTTTATGACATCAACTTGATGCCAATTTCTTTGAAATTGTGGAAATAACAAGAAAATAATTTTATGCAAAAAAGACAACTCATCGGTATAAATGAAATGGCTTAATATTTTTTTTTTTTTTTTTTCATTTTTACGCTTTACAAAGTTGTTCTATTATAACTTTACATTTTTGTCCAATTACAATTTGTAGTGATCATTGGTAGAGAAATTACTAAGGTAGGCATGACTGATAACAACTTTCCTTTAAATTGGAATTCTGTTAGCAATCATGCCTTATATTCTGAAAATATGATGAAGGATATGCCTGATATAAAAAACTAGTAAACATGTATTTTCCCGAACTAAATTGGTGCATACATATGCGATTGGACCAATAAGCACCCTTTTCGTGAGCAAAAAATAAATACTCTCTCCATTCCATTTTATTTGCATGGTTTGATAAAACCCGCATATTAAAAATTTAGTTAACAAAAATTATTTTGCCCATTTTTTAGATATTAATAAAAATCATTCATTTAGTAAACAATTATAAAGGTTATTATAGAAAAATAATTATTTAAATATATAAATTTAAAAACTTTGTAAACATTTTGAGACATCTAACAAAAGAATAATAAGCAAACACAGTAGGACGGATGGAGTATTTTTTATTATTTATTAATGATTTAACAAGGATAACCTGGGTGTATTTCATGAGCAGCAAATCTCAAGTATTTTCTATTTTTAAAAGGTTCAAAAGCATAGTTGAGACTCAACGTGATTGCAAGTTGAAGATTTTAAGGTCGGACAACGGAAAGGAGTATACATCTAGTGAATCCTCAATAGATTTTTGTGAAGAAATGGGCATTGAACAACAATTGACAGTCATCTATACATAAGAGCAAAATGGTGCATCAGAAAGGAAAAACTAAGGTGGAAAGGAAAAACTAATGGCGTTTGTTATTGTTGTGGTTTCTAGTTTTTCGTTTAATTTTGGTAAAAAAAAATTGAAACGTGTTTGTTATAACAGTATTGAAATTTACTTTTTTTAAAAAAAAAAAAACACATATTATGAAACTATAAATCGTGTTTCACGCGATTTTCTTTTATTTTTGATATGCTTCTTTCTTCTTTCTCCTAGAAATCTCTCTCCTGCATATCTTTCTCCTACGTATCTCTTCTATATGTCTATGTAATAAAATAATTCATTTTCTTTCAGACATATTTCTTATATTTAAATAAAAAAATGATATCTTATTCAAAAAAATAAAAAATAATATCTTTTAAATCTTTTATTTTCTTATTCTCTTTTTTATCTTTGATATATATATATATAATTTATTTATTTATTTATTTATGAGTTGGTCTTATATATAAAAAATGTTTATATAGAAAAAGGAATTCAGTGAAAAAAGAACAGTTTTAAAAATTAAAAATCAAAAACAAAAAATGGTAAAAAACAACCCATAAGGTGTAAAAATGGTTATGACTTGCAAACACGATTTACTTAACACGTGAAATAAACGGATTAGGGTTGAGGTTAAACATGTCAGTGTTATAAACAGGTCATTCATTTATAACACGAATATAAACGTATCATGTCACAGATTGACATGCGAGTTAGACGAATAATCTGTTTATTTTAAGGTAAAGATATAATTTTAGTGTAACATATAAATACTCCTACTAAAACCCCATTCAAACTTTATTAGTGTATTAATTTTTGTTATTTTAGTTATGAATCCCGAAAAATCTATATCTATATATTTTATGTATAAAATTTTATTTTTAAATATGATTTAAATTAAATAAATTAAAATTTAAAAATTTTATAAACAGGTCAAGTAAATCATATATCAACATGAACGTTTAATCTATTTATGATATTTGTAAGATTTGGCGAATCGTGTATAGATAACACTACACCACCAAGCACCTAAAGGTGTTCGGCCTCATTTGTTATTCGCACATTCCGTCAACAAGAGAACCAAGCTTCACAACAAGGCAGAAATAGGAATCTTTTTGGGTCTATGCACAATAAATACACATCTGACACAAATAAAAATATTGATGTTTTCGATGGAAAATGGAAAAAAGAAAAGGGACAAAATAATAATAAAGAGGGACAATTTTTTTTAATTGGCAACCAAACTATTGATTTGGTGCATGAGGAATAGGTATATACCCAAGTGACGGTAAATATTGTATGTGCTTGTACATGGCATCACACAGCAAAATCATACATGGCATTATAGTGAAATCATATATTTTCTGTGCTTATATATGGCATCATAGTAAAACCATATATTTTCTATGCTTATACATGGCATCGTACAGTAAAACCATACATGGCATTACAGTAAAACCATATATTTTCTATGCTTATATATGGCATCATCAGTAAAACCATATATTTTCTGTGCTTATATATGGCATCATCAGTAAAACCATATATTTTCTATGCTTATATATGGCATCATCAGTAAAACCATATATTTTCTGTGCTTATATATGGCATCATATACTTTTTCATGCTTATATATTGGCATCATCAGTAAAACCATATATTTTACTGTGCTTATATATTAGGCATCACAGAGTTTAAAACCCATATATTTTCTATTATACATGGCATCATACAGTAAAACCATATATTTTCGTATGGGCAATTCATTACGTAAAAACCATACCATGGCCATTCTATAGTAAAAACCCATATATTTTTCTATGGCATCATACAGTAAACCATACAATGGCATCACAGTAAGCCATATTTTTTCTGATGCTTAGTATATGGCATCACCACAGTAAAACCATACAGGTATTTCTTAAAACCATATATTTTCTATGGCATCATACAGTAAAACCATACATGGCATCACAGTAAAGCCATATTTTTTCTGTGCTTATATATGGCATCACACAGTAAAACCATACAGGTATTTTTCAAGAAACAAGAAATAAACACGCAGTATCTGCATATGGAAAGTGCTTATATGCTAAAAATAGAGAAAAAAAAAATCCTCTCATCAGTGCTTGTATATGTAAATTTGGAGATTATTGCATCTTCTCTGCTCTCAAATGACTACTGTTATCATTGCTTCTATTTGAACAAGGATTATATGAAATTTTAAAATGATCATCAGACTATCAAACATTTCTCAAAAAAATAAAATAACTAAGTCTTATTCTCAAACTAGTTGAGATCGATCATATGAATTCTTTGTTATCGCTTCCGCTGTTAAATTAATAGCAAGAGAGCCTTAGCCCCCAAAAGAAAAAGAAAAAAGTATCGTTGTTCTTGTTATCAGAATGAAATCACTGTATAAGATCAAGCACAACAAATAATCATGAAAATAAATTGCTTCTTGTGAATCTGTGAAAAAATAAAACTACAAATCCTCAGTGGATCAATGGGTATTCCATATCTTCTAATTTGATTGCAAATTTATGACCACACTAATGAAAACTTTAGTTAAAATGATAGAAACTAAAACATCAATCAGCAATATTGAGAAATTTTATTATATGGAATAAAGCGAAAGCATTATTTGGTAACATAATTGCACCTTTTTCTCATGAACATAACTGTTCCTGAGAGTTCACTTCCATAAACAAAAACAAGTTCTCATAAAAAGCATCAACTGAAAATTATTCTCAAAGCAACCCCCTTTCCTGAAGTCCATAAACTACTTGTCTTCAGTTTTAGACTTTGCACGCTCAATTCCGATGCTGAGGCGTTCAATCTTTTCCTGCAACAAATCACTCAAGTCATTTGCATTCTCCAAAGAATCCAAATGGTGCACATTACCATCAGCTATGCATTTCTTCAAAGTAAGTTCCAATTCCATTCTTTGGTTTTTCTTCGTTTCTTTCTCCAATTTGTGCTTCAGCTTGGCTATGCTTTTCTTAAGAAAAGTTTCCTGGTCCATCATGTACTTGCCTTTTTTATTTGGAGGCAAATTCTTGAATTTTTCGAGCACCAATGTTGCTTCGGAGGGAGAAGGCCAAACATCTGGAGAGGAATTATAATCACTGAAAATGATTGCGCATGCAACAACCCCACAAAGAGTACTGAGTTCTTTCAGCTTCTTTAGAAAACCAACCCTCCGTTTTTTGAAGCTCGCTTTCCTATCAGATTCATCGGGAATCAATTCATACTTGATATTTGTCCTGCCCATAGTTATGCAAAGATGTGACAAACTTATTGCATAAGACGTATAATATATGTAAAAGGCCTCGAGATTTATAAGCGATAAGGAACTAACATATATGGTGAGATGACGCGGCAAATTAATATAAATGGTGAACAACTCATAAGTGTTCCGTAAATGTATAGCTGAGTAGAGAAACAAGAGTAAAATGGTAAGTGAATACTTAACGTTTGCTCGTTTTTGGTAAATGCGTAATGATAACACCTCAGTTGCATTGAGCAAAAAATGAATATTGTTGAATGCAGCTGTATCATGGAAAATATTTGATGGATGACCGACCTGACAATTAAGGAAAGATTTTTTAGATTAATATGCTAAATCCGCCAATTTTTATTAGGCAATATGAATTGTGATTTAAATGAATACAAAACCTGCTTAATTAGATGCGGTGCATTGCCATGTCTTTCTTGTACCGCACATAATGCACTTTTCTCAATGGTGACTTTTGAATAATTTGATTGCAAATGGATGATTTACCCACTTTACCAAGCAATCTTGTTTTAGGTACTGAATTTTATGAACATCCAAACACAACATTCCTCAAATTCCATTGAAAATCCCTAATTTTCCTCCTAAACTACTACTACATTATGACATTCAATTATTTTGTGAAAAAATGACAACATTTTTCTTTCCAAATCAAAAGAAGCTCTTTGAGGGAAGAAAAAGTGTGTCTGTAGGAGAAAAACGTTGCGTGCATTTGGTCTGGTTCCCTTGTAGAATGTCAGTCATAGATTATTATTTCTTAAAAACACATAGTTCCTTCCTGCATACAAATGATCATGGACCTAATGGTGCTAAACTTGGATTTCTCTTTCGGAAAACCTCAAACAAACTTGTAAAGAACTTATGGCCAATATTGAATGTGAAAGAAAATATAGTAATTAAAATCTCCAAATGATATAACTACCAAAGCAGAGAAGGCATAATATTACAAGATTCCAAACTGACCTGAATACTTTTGCAACTTTCTGGTAGCATCAAAGTCTTCCAATAGCAAAATGATTGCTCAAAAATCTATATTAAAAAAAAAAAAAAAAGATTTTAAAATGAATTTAGGGTTATCATTCTCAGAAGTGGAAAACAAATATTTTTTTTATTATAAATTGTATTATGAAGGCCCTATAATGCCAACCAAAATATTCTTAACAACTTTTGACCAATAAATTAGCCTCATAATAACTGAAAATGGTGATTTGAAAGAGGTATCAACAAGGCAAATGTTCAATACACCATCCAAGCAATGTTATATTAGTATTTGGAAAGGGAAGTTGGGGTTGGGGAGATGAAAATGTAGATTACTGGGAGGATAGTAAGAAAGCAAAATGACTTTTTTAACTTTTTGGGGAAGATTAATTTCCACTTGGCTCATTAGAATGTAGTTGGGGGGCAAGGGGCCATGCCTCTGAGGTATGAATATGGTCTTGATGGTCTTTGACGTTTATGTTGCTGGGAGTGATTATATAATTCTTGTATTAGGTTTTACCCTGAAGTCTATATAAATAGGGCAGTAATGCTCATTTTGCATATAGTGACAAAGTAAGTGACTGTTTATAGACTTAAGCAGCCAAACCACATAAAATTCGTGTTTGTTTTTCTCTCTCTGTTGTTTCTAGTCTTCATGTGTGTTTGTTTATTGGTGCTTTTACTAGCATAGCTAAGACCATCCACTACAAGGAACTTCTTCAATAACGGAGAGGTAATACATTTTATAAGTACTAATTACTCTATTCAATTAGAAGAGGAGCTTCATTGCCGCAAGGCAATAGAAGCAAAACCTATAGTTTCTCATCCACTCTGAGGAGCTCATGTTGATCAACTAGCAAATAGAAGTTACAGGTAACTTTGGGTTTGAGGTGAGAGCTCAACACTGGGCATGAATTCAATTCTGTTTCAAAGGTAATGGAAAACTCTGAATATATTAACCTACTAGTTAATCTTCTGCAACAACTTCCCAATCTCATATAAATTATTTGACTTCTTAATGACATGTATTAATCTCCTCAACAAAACATGACTTAGTTTCACACCTAATCCAACAGGTCCAGAGGTCTTTAAACTTCCAGTCAGGTAGTTCTACTTAACCATCAGCTTACAAGAAGTAAGAAACTAGAAAAGAGCTGGATGTGTTCCTTCAGAATGGAAAGAAGCAGATGACAGGCAGCTATCATAAACTAAAGCTCAATTACTCCCTCTATAACAAGCGTTATACAGATAATATATATTACCATACCTGCAAGCATCAGAAACGCCAACAGATTACTGGTTCTACTTGGAAAGCCTTCCAGCACAGCCTCAGAAAGACAACGTGCTTGAAATACTTCTAAATTGTACCTCAAGATGTGATCTTCCCTACTTCGTCACGCTTTTGAAATATCTGCATTGACAACGAAAGTGCAACCATTTGCTTTCATGAGTTGAAAAAAGGAATATATTGACTTGAAGTGAGCTTTTTCCGAACAGAAAACGAAATCATTGAGGTTTATAACACATACATACACCAGTGCAATGTCCAAAAAGGCAAGGAACTGAACTTGTTCAAATGGGACAATCAGCAATTCTTTGCTGATAGTCAGCAAAGGGTTCAAGATGTACCAGGCTTTCTGCAAATTGAAAATTAACTAGGTGAATGGTACTAAACCAGTTGTGATCTTCCTATCAATTTGAAGCAACATGGATTTTTGATTAGGCATTTCATTTCCAATGACTTTCCTCAGTTCCACATTCAGCTTCAACTAGATCGCTTCCCAAGCCAATGTTCAACAATGGATTCCAATTCTGGTAAGTGTAGGATTCCACCTTGCTCATCATTTTGTAGCATAAGAATAATTTCTAGAATCATTCAGAGGAGTGACTGCCCTGTGATTACCAGTAATCATTACAAGAACAAGAACTGTCTCTAAAATGATGGAAACGAAGTGGATCTCTGAGAATTTTTTCTATATTTTCCATTTTTGGGAAGAGCTTCATTGTTATATGACTGTCATGGCAGACTCTCAGATTTTTCATCACTTCCACAGGAGCTGATGGTGGCAAACTGATAATACCAAAAGTTACAGCTAGCTTTTCACTGCAGTGATTCACCATGTAGATGCCCTTGACATCTGCTTCAAAGGAACTGCAAACAAGTTTCTGATCCACATAACCTATTTTCCTTATCTTCTATAACATTTCTCCTAATGTTCTATAAATTGTTTGGCTTATTGGGTGAGAGATATCACCCACGGAAAAAGAATGAACCCCGTGTCCTACCTAAATCCAACTCTGACCAGGTTCCTTCTTAACTCTTCGATCATTCATTAGTTCTCTGATTTTCATGGCGGGTAATTCAATCCCAGCATCTGAATAAATGTTGTAAAGAAGAACATAAGATGAAGAATCTTGAGGTTCAAGCTCAATTACTTTCTCTGCAGCACGTTTCCCTGTAACAGTGTCCTTATACACCCTGCAAGCACTCAACAGGGTTCGCCACATCACTGGATTATCTTTAAAACCTGAGTTCAAAATGAAATTTTCAGCATCCACCAGCCTTCCTGAACGGCCGAGAAGGTCAACAACACAGGCACAATGCTTTACATTAGTTTCAATGCCATGATCTTTCTTCATGCTTTCATAGTATCTGCCATTTTAAAGGAGAGACCACTTAATGAGTTAAAGAAAAACCATTTACCTATCGAGTTGACACAAACATGCATACAAAGGATCTGCTTGAAGAAAGTCTTCAGATTTAAGAGACATAATCTGAGTTGTTGGTTTACAAAAATATAGGTTTACCGAATTCTCAATATTTTGACAAATGCCATGTGAGATCTGCAGAAATGCTTCACACGTTTCATTTTTTTTCTACACACGTTTCATTTTTTTTCTACACTTTAAAATACATTTTATCCATTGATTATTTTTTTATTGATCAGTTTTGCCAAAGAGTTAATTTCAGTGTCATTCCCACCAAAATTTCACCTCTTGGACACCAGTTTCCTTTCTCTAACTCTGATACAATCATTCTGATTGTTCCCAAAAGAGACATGCTTGAATAAGAATTTATCAGGTTTCAGTTATTATCACCCACAAAAATGAAAAAAGGAAAAATAGAACAAGAGGTTCTGTTGTCGTACCTCAGTCCTTCTTCAACAAACCCTCCATGGCTACAAGCAGTTAGAACTCCAAGAAAAGTAATATGGTTTGGGTGAAATCCATAAGTCTTCATCAACTCAAAAGAGGTCAAGGCGTCCTCTGCATGCCCATGTTGTGCACTGCTACAGACCATCACAGACCAGGACACTACATCAGGATTTTTTATCTCTTGAAATGTTATCCTAGCAGAGTGTATGTTGCCGGACTTTGCATACATGGAAATCTGAGAGTTTTGAACAATAGGAAAGAGCCCAATGCCAGTCTTTATTGCATATCCCTGGACCTGCTCTCCAGATCTTTCTGCTGCCAAATCTGCACAAGCACCCAACATATTTGACATTATGAACTCATCAGGTTTCTTACCAGATGCAAGTAGTTCATAAAACAGAGCTAATGCACTTCCAAAGTTTCTGTTTTTAGCATAACCAGCAATCATGGAAGTCCATGAGACAATATCTAGCTTCTGAGTCGAATTAAAACATTTCAACTGATCCTCAGTTGAACCCAACAAGGAGTACAACTCAATAAGCGTGCTTCCAATGAACTCATCAGATTGAATGTTGTTCTTGCAGATCTGTGCATGAATTTGTTTTCCATAGTCGAATGCTTCAATGCGGTTGCAAATTTTGACAATGCTTGAGAATGTAAAGTTTGACGGTCTTATTCCCTGCCTTTGCATTTGAGAGAAAAGATTAAATGCCTCATTTGTAAATTCTTCACTGATAGCCTCAATTTGGTTGAATCCAGCAATCATGGCATTATACATGACAACATTTGGGTTACGAATCATTCTAAATATTTGAATTGCATCATCTAAATACCCATTTTTTGCATACATATCGAGCAATGCAGTCCCAACAACAACATCCAAATCTAGCCCAAGTTTAATCGTGTATCCATGAAGTGTTTTACCTTGTTCTATCATATTAATAAGATTTGAACTACACGCTTTTAAGGCACTGCCAAGTGTAAAAGTGCTCAAGCTCAATCCAGTTTGATGCATTTTTATTAACATTTCCAACATTTCCTCATATGCACCAATTCTGACATGCCCAGCAATCATAGAATTCCAAGAAATCTTATCCAACTTATCAGAAAACTCAAACAAAAGCCACGCATGATTAATACTTCCACATTTGCAATACATGTCAATAAATAAATTGGTAAAAAACACTTGTTTCCCTAACCCACTAACAATAGCCATCCCATGAATCACTTTACCCAATCCAAGGTCCCCCCTTTGACCACAAGCCCTTAGCGCACCTGCATAACTAAACTTATCAAGCTTTAAACAAGCCATTCTAGCTTCACTAAAAAGCCCTATAGCCTTCTCACTAGAACCCATCTCGGCATACCCAGAAATCAAAAGATTATAAGAAATCACATTTCGTTCAGACATTCTATCAAACAGTTTATGAGCAATACCCATTTCCCCACATTTGCTATACATGTTGAGAAGATTGTTAAGCAAGAAGAGGCAGGGATTGAAAGCTGTTTTTATCATCTGGGCATGAGCAAGTTTTCCATAGACTAAAGATCCAGGTTTCGTAGAGATTTGAACCAGCTTTGTATAGGCTGCAGAGTCCAAAGAGAAAATTTGCTGATATGATTGAGAATGTGGGGTCGATACAGTTACAGTTCGAGCCAGTGAGGGGGGAAATATGTTGGACTGTATCAAAGGAAGAAGAAGATTGCGCAAGACGATCGAGTTTGAGAGGCATGTTACCTTCTTGGGATTCGTTTTTTCGAGAAGCATTCTCCGTAACTGAATTGTCGAAAAACCGTTGGTCTACGCTATATACTTGCCCATTATTATTATTATTATTTTTTTTTGGGTGAATAAATTTGGGTAAAAGTATATTGTAAAGAAGTTATCCCGCCCGGAACTCATTTTATACCGGCACCATAGCCCTAAGCCCGCGCAGTGGATTGCAATGGGTAGGGTTTGCAATGGTAGGGTTCGGTTGAGAAGTGTAATATTTATATTCAAACCCTCTCCTCCTTAATTTTCATGCACTATAATATCCTATAAGGTAAAAAATGTTATTCCCTCCGTCTATTTATATAAAGAAAACTTCTTTTTGTACGTTCTATTTGTATGGAGAAATTTTTCTAATATGATAACTTTGTAATTAATGTCAAATCAAAAGGCTCATATGCTTTGTTTTGGTTTATAGATTAAATATTGACTTTGAGATTATTTTAAGAAAGTGGTAGGCATTATTATGTTTGGCATTTAATATTCAAAAATTGATTGAACCATGCATTCAGAAAATGTGAGATTCAAGCACATTATGCGCACAGATTAAATTTCACTAAAAAACTTATGTTTAACATTTAAGTGTGCACATATAGTGAAATTTACTCACAACTCTAATAAATCCTAGATGGAGGAAAATTTCCCTCCAAACGACAATACTTAAGTAAAATTAATTGTGCTCATTTATATTTACTCTAATGAAATCCTTAAAAGGCTAAAGAGAGAAATACAGAACTTAAACCTTAATTTCATTGCTTAAATAAAAATATTGTGCCCATTTTTTGCATTATGCCAAATTCTATAAATTGTTTTATTGGATATGAATAAATTGTCTACAACTTTATGAATACTGCGAGCATTTAACTCACTATTTTCAGTTTCAGAACACAATAACATACAAACTGTATTTTTCACTTCTTCAGTGATGTTTTTCCTTTTGTTGCCTTTTCGAGCCTATTCTAGACCATTAATTGGTGGTGGTGTGATTTCAAATTCTACAGAAGGCGGTTGTTCAATGGATGACAAGTAGATCAAGTCCAAGGGTTGATTGTTGAGCATGAGCACATCTTTTGAAGTTGCAAGCATGTCTTCAGAGACCGTCTTCAAATCAAAAGGAAGGACTATGACCATCACGTTTGTGGATTAAATTTTAGAATTGTGAACTCATCTCTATTTAAATGAATTCAACTTTGAAAATTTTGGCTCTAAATTTCGTTTTTTTACGCATAAATTTGGAGAAGCAAAATAAAGAATTTGAGGCTGAAAATTTTGGCTCAAAACTTTTTTTCAACTTTCGCACCAATTTTTTCAATCCAAATTTGATATTGAAATTTTAGTGCACAATTTCAATTAAATAGCTCACTTTTTTTTTTTTTTTTTTTAGATATTGAAATTTTAGTGCACAATTTCAATTAAATAGCTCACTTTTTTTTTTTTGTTTTTTTTTTTTTTTTTTGTTATTGAAAGTATAAACAATTTATTTAAGAAACATATCATCTCTCTCATCATTTATCACCTTTTATTGAAAATTAGGAACCACTTTAATATCTTTTCAGGGGTAAATTAGGAAGAAATCTATAAAAGGCCACCTCCTTAATCCTAGAGAAATTTTGAGTTTCTCTATATAAATAGAATGGATTGAGTATATTTATCCTCAAACCCAATGGGTTTGATGACGCAGAACGGTTACGTGAATGGGAAGGACGATTATACTCAGTTAGAGATTTTGATCAATAACGTTTGATCTGACGAATAAAATAGGGAACTTAAACTTTCAAAAAAGTTTATTGATACGAATAATGTTTAAAAGATAATGACCCAATCACAATACAAAAATAACCTATTTATAGGTTCAGGGTAAAACTTATAAAATCCTAAAAATACACAAAATTCGTAATTAAGCAAAACCCTAGTAAGGGCAGCGACACGAGCGTGCTGGACTTGACATGGGCATGCTTGGACTCTCAGAGGCTAACACGGGGTGTGCTAGGAGTGACACAAGCATGCCGAAACTCGAATCGTAACTGGACCCGTCGGCACGGGCATGATTGTCATGGCACGGGCGTGCTATGACTTCTAGAGGCTAACACGGTCAGGCTATCTGTGGCACAAGCGTGACTGGGCTTTTTGATCTTGGGCGTGTCTCGCATCCTGAACTTCCAGAGTCTGGCACGGACGTGCTAGGAGTGATACGGCCGTGCATCCTGTTCCTTGGTTTGCATCGATCCAAGTCTTCCAAATATTGAAGTGCAAGTTGCTCCGCATCAATCCCCTGACTTTAAAAGAACTCGACCTCGTGTGATCATCATCGGGATAGAATGGGAATAAATCAGCAACATTGAAAGTCCTGGAAATCTTCACGTCTTCGGGCAGGTCAAGTACATAGGCATTATCATTGATCTTCCTAAGTATCTGAAATGGGCCAATCTTTTTAGAGTCAAGCTTCTTTTGTCCTCCACCACACTTCTTACGAAGCTACACCATGACCCAGTCACCCACTGTAAAAGATTTATATCGCAGGTGTTTATCAGTTGCAGCTTTATATTTATCATTGGCAGCAGTGATGAATTGCTGCACTTGCTTGAATACTTTCACATGCTCAGAAGCCAAGTTATTAGCTGCAATGCTCTTTTCTACACCTCCTGGAAGGGAAAGAAGATCAAGAGTATGTGTTGGTACCTTCCTGTAGACAACTGCAAACAGGGACATCTTGGTGGAGCTATGGACGACACTGTTGTAAGCAAATTCTGCTTGGGCAAGAGCAAGATCCCACATCTTCTTCTTCTCGCTGCAAATGCACCCCAGAAGATTACTAAGAGTTCGGTTCACCACTTCAATTTGTCCATCAGTTTGGGGGTGAACGGTGCTGCTGTAGTGAAGTTGAGTGTTGAATCTCTTCCATAAAGTTGTCCAAAAGTGAGCAAGAAACTTTGTGTCTCGCTCAAATGTGATGGCTTTGGGAATGCCATGCAAACGAACAATCTCCTGGAAAAATAACTTTGCTATGTGTGAGGCATCATTAGTTTGCTTGCAAGGGATAAAGTGTGCCATCTTGGAGAACATGTTTACAACAACAAAGATAGAGTCAACTCCTCATTGAGTTTGAGGTAAACCCAACACAAAATCCATGGATAAGTCCTCCCAAGGTTGTTCCGGTACAGCCAAAGGAGTGTAAAGACCGGTGTTTTGAGAATAGCCCTCCAAGGTTGTTCCGGTACAGCCAAAGGAGTGTAAAGACCGGTGTTTTGAGAATAGCCCTTTTGTGTCTGGCAAACGGAACATCTTTGTACTAGCTTTCCTGCTTCCTTCTTCAGCTGTGGCCAATAGAATCGAGACTCCAAATCCGTAATAGTTTTATCTCACCCTAAGTGTCCGCTCAACCCTCCGCCATGGACTTCTTTAATTAATTTTTCTTAGAGGGAAGACCAAGGGATGCATAGCCTATTTTCTTTGAATAAGCACCCATCATGAACCAAGAAATCGTCGGTAGGCTATTTATCATTAATCTTTGCCTAGGTGTCAGCAAAATCTTCATCCGAGGCGTATAGATCTTTAAGAAATTCAAACCCAACAATCTCTTGCTTGATTGTGATCAACAGTGCTGCTCTCCTGCTCAAGGCATCTACTACCATGTTGCATGTACCTGACTAGTGCTTGATGACATAATGGAAAGCACCAAAATAAGTTGTCCACGTGCATGCATCTTGCTCACTTTCTTTTGAGTTTGAAAATGAGTTAAAGTCTGATGATTAGTGTAAATGATGAACTTACACCCCAACAAATAATGTTCCCAAGTTTTGTAGGCACCCCAACAAATAATGTTCCCAAGTTTTGTAGGCTCGGAAAACTGGATACAATTTTTGCTCATAAGTAGACCATTTCTGCTTAGCTTCATTCAACTTCTCATTAAAAAATGCAATAGGCTTTCCAGATTGAGACAAAACCCCACCAATTCCAACCCCACAAGCATCACAATCTACTTCAAACAACTTATCAAAGTCAAGTAAAGCAAGAATAGGGGCAGAAGTAAGCTTATCTTTGATTTCTTCGAAGCTCTTGTTTGCAGCTTCAGTCCATACAAACTGTCGAATTCTCTCCTTCTTCAAGCAATCTATGATGGAAGCAACGATGCTACTAAAGTTCCCGATAAACTGCCTACAGAAAGTGGCAAGACCATGAAAACTGCGAACTTCAGTGATGTTTTTGGGAATAGGTCAATTTTGAATGACCTCAATCTTTCTGTCACCCATATGAATTCCTTCCGAGCTAACAATATACCCCAGAAATAGAATTCGCTCCGTCATAAAGCTGCACTTCTTGAGGTTGATATAGGCATGGCCGGTTCAATGAACCGCCGGTTCGAAATGTTTAAAATTTTGAACCGGAACCGGCCCTTGAACCTCCGGTTCCGGTCCGGTGGTTTCCGGCACGGTTCAGCACGTTTCCGGCGAAAACCGACGGGTTCGAATTACGGTTTCGATTTGGTTCCGGCATTACGCAATTTTTATAAAAAATAATAAGATTTTTGATTTCGAATTCATGAATAAATAATAATTTAAAATGTTAATTTTATTAACTAAATAAATTATTATAAAATTTTAAAACAAAAACTGCTATTCATTTGAACAATTTTTGCAAAGAGTGTCATATCCTCCTCCAAGCTTGAATGCATATTCTTTTTTGCAATAATTACATCGAACCGCATTGATTTCTCCATTATCTTGAACAATTTTTGCACAGTGCTTCTTGAAAATATCTGATTTTGGTGGTTTACGGTTTACCTATTGAAATATTAGGAGATATTGCTTCTTGTGGTGAAAAATCAATCAATGGATCATTTGAATCAATTTCTTCCATGCTTTGAGCAACTTGCTTTCTCTTGGAGATTTGTGAATTGTGTGCCATAATTTTAAATGGAATTATGGAACAAAAAATGAATAAATGGAATATGAAATTAATGGAATTTAGAATTGGATGTATGAAAATAAAGCAATATTAAGAAGAGAAGAGGAGAGATAGAATATAATTTGAAAAAAAAAAATAAATTCAACTCATTTCATATTTATACATATTTTTCTTTATTGTAGTTTCCCAAATGTCCCTATAACAGAAAAAAAATAAATTATATTTTTGGATAATTTAGTTAAATTATTAATAAATAAATTAAATAAATAATTAATTAATTAAATTATAATAAAACAATTATATCCGTTTGAAGTTTGAATTGTTAATTGTATAGTAAATTGTTAATTGTAAACAAAGTTCAATGGCTATTTTTGATTATGAGCTTTCAAAAAAAAAGTGAAATGATTATGCTTCTCCTTTTTTAAACCAAAATGATGATGTTTTTTTTTTTTCACTATTTTTGATTATTGCAATAAATAATTTTGTTTGTGAATTCAGTTCGAACCGGACCGAAGCCGCCGGTTAACCGCCGGTTCTGGGCCGGTTCAGGTTCATTTTTTAACATTCACATGAACCTTAACCGGCCCTTGAACCGCCGCCCGCTGGTTCCGGTTCAAAATTTTCGGTTCCGGTTCAAAATTTTGAACCGCCGGTTTCGGTTCGTCTACAGTACGGTTCGGTTCCGGTTAGAACTGAACCGGTGGCCATGCCTAGGTTGATATACAACTCATTTTTTTAGAAAGCCTCTAACACCCCTCAAAGGTGTTGAAGGTTTTCTTCCTTGCTACGACTAAAAATCAAGATATCATCAAAGTAAATAACCACAAATTTGCGCAAGGAAGGACGTAAAACATGAGTCATAAATCGCATGAATGTGCTCGATGCATTAGTAAACCCAAATGGCATAAACAAGCACTCATATAATCCTTTCTTGGTCTTGAATGCTGTTTTCCATTCGTCTCCCTCCTTGATTCTGATTTGATGATACCCGCTGTGAAGATCTATTTTGGAGAACACTATAAATCCTGACAGTTGGTCCAACATGTCCTCCATAAGAGGAATAGGGAATCGATACTGCACCATGATCTTGTTGACTACTCGACTATCAACACACATCCTCTAAGTCCCATCTTTTTTTTGGTACTAACAAAGCAGGAACCCCATAAGGACTGATACTTTCCCGGATATGTCCCTTCTTCAATAACTCTTCTACCTATTCTTGAAGGATCTGGCTTTCCTTTGGATTCATCTTATAATGAGGTAGATTTGGAATCTTCGATCCAGGGATGAAATCGATTTGATGTTGAATGTCTCGTTCCAGGGATGAAATCGATTTGATGTTGAATGTCTCGTAAAGGTGGGAGTGTAGGTGGTTCTTTAGCTACAACATGAAACTCATCTAGCAACTCTTTGACTGGTGGTGGTACTAGTGCCCCTTCATTAGGCCCTGTCTCTGGTTTGATCAGTAATGCCAAAGCTCCTCCGGACTTCTCAATTGCATCAGATAATTCCTGCACGTTGGAAGAAATAGCTACTATGGATTTCCCCTCCACTTTAGAAGCTTTGGCAGAAAATCCAAAAGGTAGGACAATGATTTTCTTGTTTTTCCAAGTGAACATGTATGAATTCTCTCTACCCTTATGCAAAGCATTTACATCAAATTACCATGGACGACCTAATAGTATTCCACAGGAACCCATATACACAACATCACAACTAACAATATCTATGTATGACTTCCCCATTGAAATTAGGACTTTGCAAACCCGGTTTACCTCAATCGTAGGACCCTCCTTAATCCACCCTACCTTGTACGGCGAAGGATGTGGTTCTATTGGTAAACTGAGCTTTTCAACCAACTGTTTGGCTATTAAGTTTTCACAACTGCAACTGTCAATGATAATTCGGCACACAGCTTCGCCAATTCGACATTTAGCTTAGAAGATTTTTCTCTATTGAGTGTCACTTTCTTATTTTGGAGAGTAAAAAATTTTCGTAATCACATATGTAACTTCACCATCTTCTGAACCTGCCAAGGACCCATCTTCTTCGTCTTCCACTTCTTCAACCTCAGTCACCTCATCAACTACATTAACTTGCCAAGCCCGTCATTAGCCCCCCTACGCTTTGGACATATGTTAGAGATATGCCCTTGCTTTCTACATCGGTAACAATAGTCTCCAGTTGGTTTCTGGTACAAGTTAGACTTGTTGTTTTTTTCTACTATAGGAGCCTTGCCCCGAGAGTCTTTCTTTTCTTCGGTTGAGGGCTGTTGAGAATTCTGGTTATTAATAGGGGTTGCTGCTATTGAATTCTGTCCACCGAAATTTTTGTTAAACTATTGATCTCCGGATGAGTAGGGTTGTCTGAAATTCTGATTACGATTAGACGGTTGTCTAGGCTGCTAGTTAATTCGATCCTCTGTATGTTTGGCCATCTCAATTGCGTCTGCCAATGTGAAAATTGCAGCTACACCCATCATACACATGATATCATGGTTCAATCCCCTCTAGTAATGAGCTACTTGATGGGATTCGGTTTCACAATTGTCACAACGAGCCTGTAGTCTTAAAAACTCTTCCGTATACTCATCAACTTTTTGGTTTCCTTGAAAACAGTCATGGTACCTGTTGTACAGAATTTGAGAGTGATCACTGGGAAAGAAACGTTGCTCAATCATCTATTTCATTAGGATCCAATCTCGTACAGGTTCAATTCTTCGACGATGGTGTTCGTTTTGCATAGAATGCCACCATGTTGCTGCACCTCCTTTAAGTTTATAGGCCACAATAGAAACCTTGCGTTCATCCTCAACATTCATGACCTCAAAGAATCGCTCGACCTCCGTTAGTCAATTAAGAGTGCTTTCAATATTTAGCGATCCTGAGAAAGGTTGAAGGTCTACCTTTATTTTGTATCCATCATGAAAGTTTTCACCATTGTTTCTATAATCTCGGCCTCCATCATAATGATTTTAAGTTTTCACCATTGTTCTATAATCTCGGCCTCCATTCATAATGATTTTTGGCACCTTGCATATTATTTTGTATCCATCATGAAAGTTTTCACCATTGTTTCTATAATCTCGGCCTCCATCATAATGATTTTGGCACCTTGCATAATCTGGTTGCTGCTGATTCGGCTCTGTGGCTGTAGCTACAGGTTGTTGGTTGCCTTGTTGAATTATGAGAGTCAACTGTCTAATCTGTTCAGTTAACTCATCGAATTTCACCTTTATGGCTGTGAGTAGTGCTTCATGATTATCGGCCATGAAGATACTTTGCCTTCAGCTCTGATACCAACTGACGCAGAACGGTTGTGTAAATGGGAAGGAAGATTATACTCTGTCAAGAGTCTTGATCAATAACATTTGATCTGACGAATAAAATAGGAAACTTAAACTTTCAAAGAAGTTTATTGATATGAATAATATTCAAAAGATAATGACCCAATCACAATACAAAAATAAACTATTTATAGATTCAGGGTAAAAGTTATAAAATCCTAAAAATACACAAAATTCGTAACTAAGCAAAAACCTAGTAAGGGTAGCGGCACGAGCATGCTGGACTTGGCACGGGCGTGCTTGGACTTAAAGGCTAACATGGGGTGTGCTAGGAGTGACATAGGCATGCCGGAACTCGAATCGTAACTGGATCGGTCGGCACGGGCGTGCTATGACTTCCAGAGGCTAGCACGGTCAGGCTATCTGTGGCACGGGTGTGCTTGGTCTTCTTAATCTTGGGCAGTCTCGCATCCTGAACTTTCAGAGTCTAGCACGGGCATGTTAGGAGTGACATGACCGTGCGTCCTGTTCCTTGGTTTGCATCGATCCAAATCTTCCAAATATTGAAGTGCAAGTGGCTTTGCATCATTTGAGAATATCCACAGATATCAATTATATGTGGATATCTACTCACGGATATCTATTTATCCATCGAGTCATATATATTGTTTATAAATTAGATTATATTAAATTAAAAAATTAAATTTTTTATGCAAATAATTTATATATTACATAAAAATATAAAAATAAATTAATATACAAGCAAAAGTTCCAACAATGATAATTCCAAGTTGATGGTAGCAGACTTTTCAAGTATAATTATAAGAAAAATAATTAATAAAATAACTAAAAAACTCATATAACAAAATTACTAAATATAAAATATTATTACTTGTCCAAAGCACTATTATCAAGTTTTAATAAAATATTAGAAATTAAATTTAGATTTTTAAATTTTTTTAAAATCTAAAATTATAAAAATTTGACCAATTCAAGTTAATATGTGAAAATTAAGTTAGAAGTTATTTTGCACTGCACTATATTAAATTAAAAATAAAATTATAATTTATATAAATAATTTACTTCAACTAATCCAATCTATCAAAGGGATAATGTTATATTTAGTGATTGTAGTTGTATTTTTGTTTCTATTTTGGTGGCCGAATGGAAAATAATAACAATTGAATGTATGGATCTGTAATTTTTTTTAATATTGACGTCTCCTAATAAAGTGGACAGCCGGATTACACATTAGGACATTAGGACAAAGTGAGACCCATTTTTGCCACGTGTCCGACAATTAATCCCCTAAGCAGTCCAACGTGAAAATTCTCTTCAAACATTTTCTCTGCAGAACTTGCTCTTCAATAGTAAAATCTACTGCCTTTGTTTGGTTACTGAGAAAACACCACACCAGCTTGCTCTTCAATGGTAAAACCTACTGCTTCGTTTGGTTACCGAGAAAACACCACACTACAAATTCTATAGTTTTAAAACTTCACGAACCTTCCATTTTCTTATTATATAATTCATTTTAATTCCCCTGTTTTATTTTTGTTAATTAGGTTTATGTTGTTTTAGGGCTTAAACAATGGTGGATGAGAATATAATGGTTAACGGCATCACATCGGAGAACGATGAACAGACTGTAGAGAGCTTCTACGATGTCGATGAATGAGAGAACGAAATCAAGATGAAGCAAAAGATCAAAGCCTTAGAGAAGGAGAATTCTCTCCATGGCCAACGAGAACGGAAAGCTCAAAGATCTGATTCTGCAACTGACAGCGGAGATTGAGATCGGAGGAGTCACAATTGAAGCCAAGGTTCAGAGTGATGGAGAGAGATAGAACAATCGGAGGAAAGCAAGAGAGCGTTGGAATCCATCGCTAACAGAGCTGCAAAGCGAGAGAGAGAGGTGGAATCCGTTGAATTTTTTTGATTTTTTCAACAGAGAATGGTGATGATGGATTTATTGCAATTAAAATTTTTTTTAGGGATTATTAGAGTTTTAATACTAAATCTTTAGATTTTTATTTCTTTTCAATACTCTCAAGACTGAACAATTCCAATATTACAAATTGAAATTGATATCCATTCGGTCCGTACTCATATGTTCAGGTCCTTTTAATGAAATTAACTCAGGTCATGCAGTTTGGGACTAAACATACAAAATTTGAAACTATCAACAATCGTCTTTGATTATTGGGATGAAGATGAATTCGAAGGTCTTCTTGCCAACAGTTGTGGCTCGAAACCCCTAAAGCTATTACGTCTACCACTCCAATAGATAATCAAAGCACGGATTTGAAACCAAAACAGGTATGAATTAAGAAAAATCCTATATAGTGATTTCTTTTCTTATTATTCTTGGTTTCATCCTTTACTAGCAGTATATTTCCTTGCTTGTTATTTTTCATTTCCTCCTTTATTTACAGTATATATTTGCTTCTTCTTCTTTATTTTATTTTTTTATAGCTTTTTTTTGTTTGTTGATTTATCATTATAGGGTTTGTCAATTTGCTTTACTCGTTTGTAAGGGAAAGCTTGCTAATTGATATGGTTGAGTGGTAGAGGTATTTGGTTAGTGAATGAGAGTTTTGAGCCTTGGGTTAATGTTAACCAAGGTTATGACATGGGTTTCACATTTATATAATTTTATTCAATTTGAAAATAGAGCGTTAAAATATCTAAAAATATATATCAGAGTGATTTTTATAATTATATTTAGTTAGCTAGGATTTTATTATTTATTTAGTTATAATATATTTATTATATGAATGATTAAGGGGTGTATGTTATATTATATTTGTTAGATGAATAGTTATGATTTTATGATTAAATTATTCATTTATTATTTATTAAAAATGTAATTAATTACTTGTAGGATATTTTTAAATGACTGCAATTAATTAGTTGTAGGTTATTTTAAAAGGAGTTGTAATTAATTAGTTGTAGATTTATTTTATTATTTGGGATATAACTCTTTTCTCCTCTCTTGTTTCTTTATTTGTTTAATTATTTGTTGTGAATATTTAATCTATTTTTATGTTTGTGAAAATTAATGTGAAAAACAATCTTTTGATTTTCACAATTAAGATTTTTTTAAAAGGTGAAATACCCCGAATTTTTATTTTCGAAACTTTCGAATTTTTATTAAATCAAAAATCCCGATTTTCAACTATATGGGCTATAAATACCAAACAATAAAAAATTCCATTTTCAAACTATATTTGGGCTATAAATACCAAACAATTTCAATTCGAGCCCAAGTTGCGAGTGGGCCTAAGCCCAAATATATCATCAGAATTGGTCAATTTGAGAACAATTTAAAATTTTCAAGAAAATAATAATGGAAAACTCTTAGCAATTTATTCCATTTGTAAAATATATCATAAATTATTATCCTAAAATAAATATTATTACTACTTTAATATTTTATTTATTATTGAGTAAATATTTTTATTATTATTGAGTAAATGGAGAAAAAGTTACGGAACCTAACTAAAACAATCGAAATAAATGGAACCGGACTCGGAAATCAAATTGATTTTTGGAAAACCACATGAATAACCTGAAAACCAAGTGAAAAACCTGCAAACCGAGCAAAAGCGAGCCAAATTGTTGAATCAGACCAAACCGATTCGAATCGAACCGAAATGATCTAGAAATCGACTTAGTTTCTTCTTTTCTTCCTCTCTTCTTCTTCTTCTTCTGCGCGCGCGACAGTCTCCTCCTCCTCCCTTTCCTTCTCATTTCCGACCATCGCTCGACGAGAGCGAGGTAGCGATCGCCTTCCCTGGAGTCTCTGGTCCATTTTCCGGCCTCCTTCCCCGCTAGTAGAGCTTCCAGTGGTGCGAACGAGACTGTCCCCGTCGATAGTTCTCGTTCTTCGATCTCAGGCAATACCAGGCGATTCTGGCAACGTGAAGCTTCAAGGTGAGTTTCGATTGATTCCTCCGTCTTGTGTGAACAATTTCCATCCAAGAAACGACGGTTTTGGTGGAAGGAACTGGAACCACCATGAACGGCGGTGAGGGGCGGCTGGGCGGCTATTCAAGCTCGTTTCGTTCGACCAACTAGAGGGTTGATCTCACTAAGCTAATGCCGAAAATGGAATCCTTGGTGAATTTCGAGTTGAATGGTATGATCGTGGCGAATTTCTGGGCATTATTGATCTTCCGACCACCGTAGACGGCGGCGGCGACGGCGTTCCGGTGACCGGCCGACGAGCCTCCGGCGAGGCATCAAGGGACATAATTTTCCTCTCTTCACGAGGATCGTGGAATCGTTGCCCAAATTTCAATTGGTACGTTCTAAGACCAATTTCCTATTTTCGGTATAAATTCTAAACTTAGTAATCATTAGTTAATTAAATTGAATTTGAATTAATTAATTCATATATTATATATGAGCTTATATTATATATGAGCTAGGTTGAGAAGGATCTATTTATTTTGACGAACAACAACTATTTTGAATAATTGAGGACATTTAGATAAACTAGTCATAGGAATTAATATATATATAAGGGCGAGTTGGATTACTTAGTAGATTTATTCATTAAATTTTAGTTTAATTGAAGCATTTGTTCTTAATGGTTAAATTTAACTTAATTGATACAAGTTTTGTTTATAAATTGTACATTTATTTGATAATTAGTTAGAGAACAAGTAATAATATCGTTGGAACATGCTTGGAGGAGGTTATTATAATTCTGTAAATTAATTGGGCATGTTACCATGGTTGTTTTGAGAAAGAGATGTAAATAAGCTGAATTGATTTAGCCACGGATGAGTTTGTGTATTGATTGAAAAATATATAATATTTGTGATATTTAAATAGGTGATAGTCCAATTTTAGGGGAAATTCTGCTGAAATTTCGATAGAACCTAGATAGTTTTTAATTTAATAACATAATAATAAATTGATAGATTAATTTCTATAACTTAATACATAATTAAATAGAGTGCTTCTAAATTATTTATTTATGATCTTTATTATTTATATTTCATTGTTTATGTTTATTATTATCATTGATGTTTATTGTGTGTTTTATCTGTTAATAGTATTATTTAATTATTAATTGCATTTGAAGATGATATGTCTAATTGTGGCATTGCATTACGATTGTCAAACTGATCAATAGTCTGCATTTGATTGCAAGTATTTTGATTAATTGGGTTGTGATAATGCTGTTGCTTTGTTTGGGTGAATTGGGATGACGTGGGTCATCAATGTTTATGAGATTTTACCACCCCCCCTTTATATGAATCCTATGATTATGATTACTTTAGCCGTAAATGGGAGAATCGGCGCCCCGTGTGCACTAACCGTTACCGTACCGGTTAACCACAGGATGGCCCTTGTTGTTGCGCACCTAAAAATCTAAATTTTGATTGCAGCCCGCCGGGGTGGCCTCCTGTTGTGTGCGCATCATGATCTAATTAGATGGAGACCACCGGGTGCCTCCTGTGTATGGAAAAGAAAAAAGAGAGAATGGAAAAACAATGAGAGGCTAATCAATGGAGATTAAACCGGGCGGCCAGTATGGGGATCGGCTGCCCTAGTGCACATGTGAGTGGAAGCCATGTGGGAAGGAACGACTATCGGGATTTCGGTGACCACTGACAATTTCCACGTTGATGTGATTATTTGAAGTATATTAATTGTGGATGCTGTGATATGCCATTTGTGTGACTGACTTGTATGAGCACTATAACTAGTCATGACTAGATTGATATATTTACACATTTGTGTGAATGTGTGTGTTGCTGCAATAATATTTTACTCCTTAGAAAGCTCAAATATCTTGTTTTAATTTTATCAGAAGAAGTTCTCTTTAACTTCCCGGTTTAAGCTATGTTCCTTCGCCTCAGGGATTAGAAAGAAAATTTCCTATTCAATAATTAGTGCTATGTAATTTAATGTATAAAAATCTATGTATATAGATCAGTTAGTGCACTCCGCAGTGTAGAGTAGTGAATTTACTTACATATAGTCGGTGTATTATCATAGACGAAATTATTCTGTGAGCCCATATTAAAAAATGTGATGTGACTTGTCAGTTGGCTTGAACTATGGAGTGTGGTAAACTTTGAAAATTTGGCCGAGATTAATAAAAATCTTTGGGCCGAGATTTAATAAAATCTTGAGATTTATTTTCCTATAAATATGGGCTGAATGTTTAAAATTATATTGAGATATTAAATTTTTAGTGTTTCAGACTTACTACGGGTCTCAGGGGCCTTAAGCTTACCTGGGCCTTAGTGCCGGTCCGACCAATGGAATTGGGTCGTGACAAAAGGACTTATTTATAGTATTTAGGCATAAAAATTAAAATGAACGCCTTATTTTGATAAACCAACAAACTGGAGGTCGGAGCCATACTCAGATGGGCTTAGGTGTTTAACACCTTCCCAAACTCATAGTTAACTTCTTTATCCAAACTCTAGTTAAGAGGTTGGGCCTATGCAAGAAATCCAATCGCTATGTGGTAATTGTCTCCGATTTCATCTGAGTGGCGACTCCTATTCTTCGGGTCGGCCTTGACTCATTCTATCTTTTTTTGGGTCTTTAGACCTTGACACAGTGCAAAGTTATTTTCTTAAGTGAAAGCCTACAGTGGCGACTTCATTGGGGATAGAGAAATTGATTTCCGATTAGTTGCTTTATTTAATTTTGGGTTTGCATTAAGTTTTAGGTTTTGAATCACAACACTTGCACACAAGCACCCTTGGTCCTTAAAATCCTTCAATATGAATTGGGGAAAGGAATTTTTAGCTCCATTCAATCTACTGATTTTCTAGTTGACCCACACCACCTATATGCTTGTACCTTTGGATATAAAAAGAATTGGATAAGTCCATTTGTACCTTTGGGTTAAATCACAAAATTCAATTGGAGGATTTGGCTCAATGTTCGCTTATGGGAATCTAAGCCTTATAAGCCATTAGAAGCACATGTAGTTACCTTAGAAATTTTTTTGAGATTTCCAAATTGATGTGCTGCATTTCATAGCTCATTATTATTAAATATGTTTGCTCATTAAAGGTAATCCATATGCCTTAAAACCTTTTTGGATTTACAAGTGAACTTCTAAAAAATGAGTTTTTATATTTGAAAGTATTGGGTGATAAATTATTTGATCCATTTGAAAGACTTAATTAAGTCTCAGTTCCCCATGTTGGCTCTGGGGTCCAAATCCAAATCCTAGGGTACCAATTGGATTTTGACCAATTACATGTGTGAAAAAAATAAAATTGGAAAGATGCTTATGTATTTTTGTTGCGTTTCATTTGTAAAAGTGCGTCCATGCATGCATTTTATCATAGGAAAAAGGGTCACTTTGCCCCCTTGAACTTGGAGTAGAGGTATAAAAAGCCCATAAATGAACTTTTGGGTCAAATTTCTCCATAACTTGGCTTTTTATGATCAAAATTGCCCATTTATTCAGATAAAGAACCTGTGTGACTATTATGCAGTCAATGGGTTCTAAAATATTGAATTTAATTTAATATTTGACATGTAATTTGCAACAGTAACAAAAGCACAAGAACTCCAAACAAAACGAAATCCCTAGTTTCTTTAAGTGGACAACGAAACTCCTGATTGGAGAAGAATACCAAGATAGAGAGCAAGAAATATGACTTATGTTAGTCACTATTCGATTTC